ATTTTTTCTGCGCCGAAAAAGGCAACTTGCTTTATATTCGACAATGGAACGATTTTGGCATTGAAATTCAAACTTTTCAAAATCCAGTACTGAAAGTGTTGGGTTTTCGAGATCATTGAGTGAAACTGGTGAGTTTTTGTGCTTGCGAAACCTTATGAAGAAATTCTTTTACATGGCGGTCTAAAAGCACGAAAACATAATTGGTTCCGTTCTTAAAGTCTTACAAATTATTATTTGCACTTTTCAAATAGCGAATCGAACCATTTAGGGTAGAGTGCAGAAAATGTATCTCACATTTCTTTTTCGTATACAAGGAAAGGACATTATTTTAACCAAGTATTCTAGGCCCGAAAATTCCCCAGTTTGGTATATAAACGATAGCCCAAGAATGCTTTATTACGGATTTACAGGCTGTTGAAGTTTACTTTAGAAAAATGCAAGCTCTTTCTTACATTTCTTCAAAACGCATGGAGATATTTAAACAAAAATTTAGAGAGGTCGATAGCTAGGAAAGGCGTCATTTAAATGTGTCCGACTTGGTCCGCCTACCACAAATCTGACTTTAGTAACCTAACCGTATGTCGTAGCAAAAAAATGCAAGATATTTTTTATTTGGAATGCAACAAGGAATTCCAAAAATAATTGTAATAATTTACAAAATACAGTGTCGTACGATTTTTCTTTAACAAATTGGGTAGGGTGCAAGTACGAATAGATTCATCATCATCATAGATTCTCGGTAAAGTCGGTAAAATATCCATTGGTTCTCATTGATCAATCCATTGGTTCTCATTGATTTAATAAATTTTGAGCCTTCCTGCTTCGTAACAGTTTCCTATTATATCTCTTTTTGTTACCAAAAAAAAATAACACTTCTTTAGTTGTTTGAATTAACTCGATGTTTCCCATAATCGAATACTCGATGTTTCCCATATTCCCATCACGAATCTGGATCATTCGCTGATGTTTTCATGAATTGCTCAAGTAAACTATTTGAAACCCATTGGCCAGAAAGACAATATGAACAAATAAAAAAGAAAAGTTTGAACGATATTTACCTGTCACCACTATATCGATACGAGAGATTAATTGGCCTCTATCAGGCTGGTAAATTCGTTTTAAGGCTGTTCCAAATCGATACATATTTTAGCAGCTTTGGGCTGTGTTAGGGCAAATCGCTTTATCAATGGAATCACATTTTGAAATATGGAGGGCTTGGTGCCTTTTCATTACTTGAATCTATCACGAAGAGTTACAAGTCGATCCATTTTGCGTTGCTTCGTTGTTTGCTAATGGATTTCCGTTGCTATTATTATTGGCAAACTGCTAGCCTGAATATTGAAGCTCAGATAACGAATTGATTCATTGATGTTGTTGCACAAACAACAGTTAATTTTATTGGCCGATAATGTCTCAATAAAAATAGCAAATTAAATCCAAATAGGGCACACAAAAAAATTACCCCGAGCTACTTTTAGCTTTTTGTAAATTAATCCAGCAATTAAAAGAATCGACCTTTTAATGGAAGGACGATTAAATAATTATTGAGCTTTTATTTTGAACTCGGGTATCGTGAAAGAAGAGGTAAAAGTGTTTTAGAAATTAATTTTTAATAAAAATAACCGACCGGAGATAAAATGTTTAATGCTTGATTTGAAGATTAATATGTTTGGCGTACTTTCGTCTACCATTACTTACTGAAAATAAGCTGTACTAACCATAAGCGGCATGGCATGGTTCAGAAAAATTCTGTAAATGTCTGACGTTATCGTGCTTATGTGGATTTATCGGCGCTTTATGCAGGCCATTTTATTTTAGAATATAGAAATCCTTCCATTAAGAGAAATAAATGTATGTAAAAAGTCATAAAATGAAACACACTCGTACATATTGTCTACGCTCTTGGGGTTTCTATGTTTCGACGATATTTGGGTCATTCCATTGTTCATTGGCCTACATTCATTATGCAAAATGCTAAAATTGGGTCTCCACAGTACAGTTTCAAATATTGTAATTAAGTTTTATGGGAATTATCAGCATTACCGGGCATTAACTTACACGGGTCTTACAATATCATCTGCTCGTACATTTTATGGTTTCAACTCGATTTTATCAGTTGGAAATATTTGGTTTTGTTTGACATGTAAAAATATGGATTTTCACCTTTTGCTTCCAAGAGATTTGCATATGCGTTCATTTGGCGCTGTAGAAACCATTTACATTTTTAATTACTGGACTCACTGTATTTTATGCCGATGTGCTAAATTGAGTGGGTAAATTAATTCCAATGTTTACGCTTAAATATGTCTAGGCATAATTTGAGATATATTTTAATCAGCCTAATGATTAGATTTTATATTCCCGTCAACAGAAATAATATCGCATATTCTACCTTTTAGTATTCCTTCTATGCAGACAACTATTTAACAGGGGATCGAGGGTTTTGTATATGTATAATGAAAATAGCTCTTGTATATATACCTAAGTTGGATTTAGGGCCCTGAACCGAAAGGGAAATTTGTTTGAATCATAACATTAGCATACCTAGAACCTGCCATACCCTCGGATATAAATCGAATTATATTATCTTGAAAGTGGACGGTAAATTTCTATCAGCCTGT